TCAATCAGGTACATGGAAGGCTTTTTATAACTATGTTAGTAGTATGATCCTTTCCTAACATGGTTATGTGTAACATCCCGATTTTTGGGCCTATAAGTACTAAAAATAGCCTGAATGAGATAGGCTACCAGACCCCTTTTTAGTAGAGGTCCTAAAGATGAGATAGGAAGTTAAAGTAGTTTTAGGGACTAAACTGCAAAGTGAAGGTTTTAAGGGGCTAAAGGGTAATCAAAGTTAGAGGCTCCAGTAAAGTCTCAAAGGCCTAGAAAGAGAAAAGAGGCTAGATACAGACCAAAGGTTAAGTTAGAAGCCTCAAAGAGATGGTTTTATGAGATTGAACCTAAGCAGGGGTAAAACCGTAAATTTAGAAAGTTACGGCCATCAGGGGTAAAAATGAAAAGTACTTAGAAAATTCTAAGAAAATTCCAGAAAATGGAAAATAATATTCTAAGGCTCTTTTGCGAAGAGAGATAACGAAAATACCCCTGAGATAACTTAAAAGGAATTTATAAGTTTATGGCTCAATTTGAGATGTAGAGGTAGATTTAATTGTTTGAGTCATAAGGAAACCTCAGAAAATTATGGTAAAATGGGGATGTATGATCTAAGAGATTGTAGAAAATTATAAAATTAGTCTCATCCCCAGAAGACCAGCAAAATGGCTTTAAGAATACTTAAAAGCCATTTGTGCCAAAAAAGGGCATTTTAAAGAATGATTTTTAAGTGGGGCTACAGGTTGAGTTATGACCTGAGAAAATTCACAGATTTTCTCTAGAATATGAGGAATTTTATGATATTTTTGGATGAATTTTTGGAGCTCTGGATTGAATAAAATGCTCCAGTCAAATATTAAATAATTTTGTCCCCTAAATAGGAGACAAAACCAAAGAAAATATCTAAGAGTTATTATGACGATGCTGAGTCAGCATGCTGAGTCATCAAGCGTAATCATGACACCGACGAGTCATCATGCTGAGTCATCAAGCGTAATCATGACACATATGAGTCATCATGCTGAGTCACCAGAAGATATTTATGGACAGCATAAAAATCAGAACGCAGTATGGGAATATTTTAGACAGTCTTTTGTCTACCCGTTATAGTGAAATCTCTACTGCGTGACTCAGTAAGGTCAAGTAGCCTGTCAACAAAGCTAATTATTTTCCCTCTACTCTTCTAAGGTGGCACCATATATGTACTTAATTAAGATGAGAAAATAGTGTCAGAACATGTCCTGGTGGTACAGGGTAAGTCAGGACCCGAAAAACATTTGATATGGTGCAAGATTGGCTTGATAGGTGGAGAAATAATTAAGAAAATATTTTTGCACGAATTTCCCATTTATTTTCTCCCTATTTTAATGCCATAAATGATGAAAGGACATGAAAGTGACAAGTGTAGGGTTAGATGAGAAAAAGAAAATATTACGTGTACGGCTAGATGAAAGACACATGTACGGTCGGATGCAAGACACATGTGCGGTCGGATTAAAGACATGTGGCTTGATGATGTAAGCATGATGTCATCATGATGAGGTAAGCATGATGTCATAGGACACTTGTCACCGTAAGATCAAAAGAGAAAATGGACGGTCCAGATCGAGTCACGTATTTTTAAGATCAACGGTCCAGATTCAATCTGCTTTTCTATAAATACCCCCTCCCCTCCCTACCATTTCGTCCAAGCATAAGGAATCCATGGGGAAGCTCTTGAAAAATGGTTTCTAGAGAGAGAAAGAAGAGGGAGAAAGAAAGGCCAAGTGGTTCCAAGCCAGATCAAACTCTAAAACAAGGTATGTGATGGTTATAGCACCTGATTTTATGCCTATTTCGGATTAGTTACTGTACGTATCTGATTCTGAAATTTTGCATGCTTAAAGTACACTCTGTGAGCTTTAAAGCCATGGGTAGAACATTTCATTTGGATATGTGTACGATTTATGGTGAGTTTTCAAAGTTAGGGTTTGAAATCTGGAAACGGTATTGAACTTTTGGAAGAGTTTCGAGTTCCGTACAATTCCGGTGCTGTTTGGCGTAGAATTGGTTCCTGAAACTAATTTTCATGAAAAGGTAACTTAAGGAGCTTTCAGTGAGACTTGGAACCACTCAATTTGGATTTTTCTAGAATTAATTATGAATTTTCAAAGTTGAGCAAAAATTCTAGAAATTCTGCGTGAACAGTACCCGCAAAGCAAAATCTCCAGATTTGGTATTCTTGAATCTAAGGCTATCTAAAGTGGTCCTAATTGACAAGAAATGGATCTTAAGGATGGGAAATGATAAGATTTATGTTAGAAAAGTTAGAAAGAAAACCCTAAGACTAAGAGAAAGGGTTGAGGTTCAAGAAAGCTAGTCTTGAACTTTATGTAATCTAGTGGTCCTAATGGATTGTATGATCAATGTGACTATGTTTAGGACCTTTGGAACATCCAAGAGGATGTTTGGTGATGTTGACCGAATGTCCACATGATTGGAAAGACAAGGGAACCAAAGGAAAAGCAAGGGGAAAGCCATGTTACAAGGTAGTGAACTTACCTATACTGTGTGCTTGATATGTATGCTTGCATGATGTGATTGTGTTGCCATGATATGACTAAGCTATGATGAAATGTTTGCAAAGTTATGTTTGCAAGTTTATGTTATGTTTTGCCTTGACAATATGTTATGGAAGCATGAAATGCTTTAACTTACTTTCCATAGCATTCATGTGTTAATGTTATAACATGTCATGCATGTGCATTATGTCTTGCATGCTTATGGGTAGTGTTTGCTACTGAGATTCTCCCGAATCTCACCTCTCCCTAACCAACCATTTAGGTCAATCAATGATGGGCAATAATGGCATGAGAAGCAAGGAGAAGTAAGCGGAGAATTATTCTTGTTAATGGATAAGACTGTTGATAAATGTATAATTATACTATTTTGTGAACTATGTTATGGATGCCAATGATGCCATGTATTTCATTATAATATTTATGGCATGAATGAAAGTGTATGAGCATGAACGGGAAAGAGTAAGGCCATGTTATGTATGGCAAAGAAATAAAAAGAATTAAAGAGATGTTAAGGGATAAAACGTAGGTCCTGGAGCAGTGAGTTTGTAACTCCAGTTTGACCTATCAAACGAGTGAGTTAGGTCATAAGATTTGGCAAGCAAAGAGATCTGATGTTTCTCTTTAAAATGAGTGGTATTTTGTCTGATTCCAATAACCGAGCAGAAAGTTATGCCTTTTCAAAGTTAGGCAAAAATACAGTAAAATCCGAAAATGACCAAATGAACAGTAACTTTTTCAAAGGAAATTGAGCTCGAATTTCAAGGCAATTAGTTCAGAAACTATTTTTTCTCAAAATTTTATCCAAAGAGCTTTCTGTAGAACTTGGAATCACTCAATTTCAATTTTTCTACAATTAGTTATGAATTTTCGAAGTTTGTCACATTTTAAGGTGACTATGAATAGTAACCCGTAAATGAAAATTTTCAAACTTGATTTTTCATCAATTGTAGCCTTCAAAAGTGATTCCAAATGCTTCCGCAAGGAAAGTTAATTGATTTAAACATGAGGTGTTACATTATGCACAATGGATAAGTATGATTTCTTTTATAACCAGATATATTGTACTACTGGCTGGTTGTCTTTTTTTTTTTTTTCCTATCATGGTTATTTGGCAAAGAATATAGAAATCTGAAAGAATTTTTATAGCCTACTTTCTTTTATTACCATTGTAGTAATGTTGGCATTCCTTATTGTGTTAAGTGTAGCAAGTTTCTAGATAAGGTGTACAAACTCTCTCTTCTTAATTTCATTAAAATGATTAGAAATGCCTAATAATAGGAATTATAGGCATTATTATCAAACTTGCGAACTGACTATCTGAGCTTAATGTTTTTATATTTTCAACTTACAAAATCATGTTGACTTATTCTTAAACTTATGTTAGCTATAAATTTTGTTGAACTTACGAGTTCATTTACTGAGTTTAATATTTTTGCATTTTTGTCTTGCAAAATCTTGTTAACTTGCTCTGAAACTCATGTTAAATTTTTTGATTTAATTATATTTATTGACTTTCTATATGAATTTTATAGATTTGTTTTTATTGAAAATGGTAAATTATGAACTTGTTGGATTTAATTTTCATTTTTTAGATTTAAAATATATTTAAATAAGATTGTTGTCATTTTTTATAGTTTAATTATTTAATTATGTTCTTTTAATACTAATTTATTAATAAAAGTAAACTCTTATGAGTTTAATATTCAAGTTTTCATCTTTATCATGATTTTGTCTAAACTCACAAGTTTCACAACCTAAATCACAGGGAGTATGCAATTTTAATTATAGCCAAGCATGCATCCCAACATAAATATTCAACCAACAACATTAAATGCCAATAAATATAGTGATTAAAAAGAGACAATAGAATTAATGCAAACATTTTTATTAGCTGTATACATGTTTAATACTTATAGAGAGGATTTTGGTCCTTTATATTTGTCACTTATACTATTTTATTACTTCATTTTCAATTTTGCCCATATTGATTATAAAGATGAAAAGAGAGGGAATGAGTGAAGAGAGAAAATATACTAGCTATTTAATAAGGACAGATTTTATCTATTTAATACTCTTCTTGGTATATAAAAATTTCTTACAAGTAATAAATAATAAGCATCAGAGTGATATATACTCTATATGCAATACTCTTCTGATCCTATTTATAAGTCACTTTCAACATGTTTCACGCAGACCAATAAAAACTTAAACATCATTAACTCTCATTTAAAATTCAACAACTTTTCAACTTTATCCTTGTTTAATATACATTATATCTCATGTAAACAAAGCTTACACAATAATAAACAAAAGGTAAAATTGTACATCCATACAAAAAATTTCTCTCTGTGACCTATAAATAGGACCAAAAAATATATTTTCTGCCCAATGATTAGGATAAGAGGATATATTAATTGAATCATTGGTCATTAAGTCAAACTTAATAATGGCGTCTTCCTCCCTGCTCTTCCTTCTTTGCTCAGCACCAAACCCCACAATCAGCCATGACTTCTCAATTTCTCTTATCCATCGAGACTCTCCCATGTCTCCATTATACAACTCTTCCATGATCCTCCATGATCGTCTCTTAGCATCTGCTCGTCGCTCTATCTCTCGCGCTCACCACCTTCACCTGCGGGCACTAAATTCCTTACAATCCAATGACGAAGAACAACCACCGAAGATCTCGTCGACGCTGTTAGCAGATTACTATGAATACATTGTTTCCTACAAAATAGGGACCCCGACATTCTTAGTTTCGGGAATGTTGGACACAGGCAGTGAGTCCATTTGGGGAAGACAAGGATATTTTTTCATACCTTTTCGGTCTTCTTCCTCCACAAACGAGTTTTGTGATGCTGGAAATTGCGTTCGTTTCGGCTCTCAAAGAAGTACATGCGCTGGCCGTACTGATATTTGCACCTGTGATGTGAGGTACTTTTCTCAAGTTATTTCTAATATATTTTACAGAGATTAAATAAAAATCTTAAATTTTATTTACTTTTTTTTTAAAATTTAGTAACTTTCTAACTTTGTCACTATTAAATATATATTATACTCTATAAAAACACTGGCAAAAGAAATTATGCTCAATAAAAGCAAAGTCGATAATAAATGAAGAGTAAAATTATATATTCATATGAAAAATTTGTCTCTTTATTCTATAAATAGGAAAAAAAATTTCTTCTCTCTCTATCTATAAATAGGATCGGAGGAATAATGTGAAAATTCTCGATGCAAAAGTTTGGGAGTTCGTTTTGGAGAATTATAGCGAAATGAAAGTAATTTTGTTAAGTGTTATCATGATCGTTTAAAAATAATGAAATTGGACACTTCTGAACATCTCAATTTCCAAAGCCTTCAAGATGATTTCGGTTTCGTCTTGTTATATGGGGAAATACATTTTTTTCCTACCACATATAAGCATACTTAGTTCTAAAATTTTGCACTTTAGACAGTTTATATATTTGTCCATTAATTTTGGATCGGATAATTTTCAAAGGCCTTGTTTCTCTTTGTATTAGTTTAATATATAGTTATATTTTTATGTTTAAATTAGTTTTCTTTTAAAAACTATTTTTATTCATATGATCGTTTGTTGAAATTATAGTAAATAATTTACATTCAACTCTATAACACTTGTATTAATTAATATTGAATTATATACTTAGAAAAACAAGAACTTTTGTTATTAAGCTCTTGACTAGTTGACTTTGATTGTAATAGTTAATTGAAGCGAATTAGATCTATATGCAGCCATTTATTTTTCATTAAAATCTTGTTGGAAACATATTGATTGTCTGATTCAATTCTTCCATTTCATTTAATTAAAACTTCGAACTGGCATTTTTTTTTTCCATTTTAATACAGTATTTATTTATTTGACACAATCAGTTGGGATGAAATAGGGAAAATACTTTGAAATGAAAGTAATTTTTTTAAGTGTTATCTGGCTGGTTAAAAAGTAATGAAATTGGATAATTCTGAAGATCTCAATTTCCAAAGCTTTTAAATGTTGACATGATTTCAATTTCGTTTTCTTATATATGGGGAAAATACCTTCTTTTTTTTCAAGCCACAGATAAGCATACTCCTAAATTTTACACTTCGGTCAATTTAGATATGGGCACACGCACAATACACACACATATATTTGTACATTAATTTTGGATATAATTTTCAAAAGCCTTGTCTCTTTTTGTATTAGTTGTGGATATGAAGCATTTGTCCATTAAATTTTACCAGAGAGGCTAAAATATACATTTCCTTTAACTTTATATAAGATTTCATTTTGACAGTAAAAATTTATTTTTTAAAAGTCGAGAGACCAAACTGAAATATTATGTATAGAGTTAAAATATCAAATATATACTTTAACTTATGACAGATGATTGAATTGATGGTTGGTTGCTCTGCCATCTATTAAGAATTCAAAATGGATTCCCCCCCCCCCTCAATACAGCAGAGTATTAATTTGATAGAATAACTGAGGGATAAAATAGATTCTTAAGAATATTTTGCGAACAATATTGGACAAAATTTACGAATGTTACTAAATTTATATATGGCATCAGCTTAAATGTTTAATGAAGGAATTTACATCAACTTTTTAACAGGTATAGAGACGGCACAAAAACATCGGGGGTTCTTTCATATGACAAATTTGCATTTGACTCCCCAGATGGTTCAAGTTTATTAGACGTGGGTTACTTGATGTTTGGTTGCTCTACTGAATGTTCCAAAGAGTTCGAAGCAGAAAATGGCTGTTTAGGCCTTAATCGCGAGCAATTTTCTCTAATCTCTCAGTTACAAATCAAAAGGTTCTCACATTGCATGGTGTTCCCACAAGGTCCAAAACATGAACACGTTCAAAACAGAATGTTCTTTGGATCTAAAGCCGTAGTATCTAGAAGTAACCTAACGCCATTTGTCAAGGACATGGATTCTGCATATTATGTGACTCTTGATGGAATCAGTATAGGCCAAACCAAAGTTCCAATACCAGAAGGTGCCTTTCATCTTAAGCCACAAGGTGATGGGGGAGTCATAGTGGATGCCGGGATCACCTTGTCAATGTTGATATCAGAAGGATTTGACCCATTGCTGAGGGCGATGAGCCAAATTGTGCAGAAACCCGTAAGTAAGAGTGGGGATTTTGAGATGTGTTTTAAGGACTTGGGCTCTGTACCAGATGTGATATTTCACTTCTCTACTAATGTTGATGTGAGGCTGAAGAAGGAAAATACTTTCATAGAGTTGATAATGGGCTTTGGTGTCTTTCGATTTTGAGGTCTAAAGTTTCCTTGTCCGTGATTGGGAATCATCAAATGAGGAACTTCTGGGTCGGATATGACCTTGAAAATCAAGGGATATCTTTTACACCAGCAGATTGTGCCTCTGTGCCTACTAGCTAGTTCATAACTTTTGTGGGTTAGTTTAGGCTAATTAATGTTAATTAGCAATGGGGAGTTATATGTTGTAATGTTTTGACTAAAAGTGCAACTTAAATTTAGTTTCAAACTCTATCCATATATGCAATTTCAACTTTTTCTTGTCAAATATTAAGATTGCAAAGCGAGAATTACTACGTGCTTTTTTTTTATATAATTTTTTAAAAAATAAAAAATAAAAACCTTGTTTGGTAATTTATTTTTAGTTAATGGGAGCACGGATAAGAGTGAATTCATTGTTTGGTTCAAATGTCCTGTATTACGTTAAATTGGGGGTATAAATGGTTGAAATCAAAGGACATAATAAAGGTCTCTAATAAAGGATAACTTACTTTAAATTGGTTTGGTTATATAGTTTCTCTTTTTGACCAAATAAAAAAAATAATGAAAGTCTAATTGACAGGGGACATTGCTACAATTTTCACATTTGAAAGGTGAAATTATACCGACTTGAAAAAAAATTTCGGGGGATTGGGACTCTGAAGGCGGTTCATTCTTTCGCTTTGGTTTCAAGTCTTTGCTTGCTTCTTGTTACCCCTTTCACTATAGGTTTGGTGCTTTCTGTTAGTTTTCTTGGGATATTTCTTCATTAGAGTTATGGGTCCTATTCTAAAACTTCCTTCATGTGGCGCCAATCATGTTCAATTCCGCAAAGATCATTACTTATGTATGGGACTCTAGGCATCTTCATGCATCTAAGTTGCAAGCGTTGATTCAGTTTTATTGGAATAACCGGGGTTCTTGTCACTATTATTCAGCAACATTGGAATTGTTTCCAATTCTTCTTTGTTGATTCACATGACGGGTCTTATTCTTAGTCAGGAGTTATGGCTTTTACAAGGCTTCGTGGTGGCTATTCATGAATGGATCCCTCACATGCCAATGGCAGATGTTGAGTTTTCTTATTTACATTCTTGGGTTCAAATTCATGAATTATGATGGTTTTTGGGCATACCTGGAGAAAACTCGTGTTCTTGCAGGTAGCCACGCGATAGTCTAGTTACCGATTGAACTCAGACAGATGAGTTACACAACAACTGCACCAGAGAAGAGCAGAGGAAAGGGAAGCGGTTATCTGGCTATTTTTCACGTTCTGCCCAAATGAGGAACTCTAGCCAAAATAAACTGCAGTTGCGTAACCGTTCCCCCCAAAATTGTCAATTTGAACAAAACACAAGAATCACACTCTATGACCCAATAGTTCTGTTATTCGCACAAGTGTCCCCAATGTAAATGGGCTTAGGCCCAATCCACCAAGGGTGGACCTATTTCCCAACATCTCCCACTCACACTTGGTGGATTAGATGTCATGGGTCCAGTCTCTTTCTCTTCTCCTTCTTCATACTTAGTGCTTTGCCATGATCGCGTGGGCATGACGTCTTCAATTAGGTGCCTGTATTAGAAATCCTTTTTATGGGATCAACACAAGACAACCTCTCCTGCGTGTAGCCTAAAAGATAATAATAATAATGCCTCGGATCTCCTAGATTTACTTATATACACTCCTCATGGCAAATCTAATCCCTCTTGAGTCGGTGTTTGACCCAGATTGCCTTTCTCGTATGCTAAGTGTCCACACTTATAACAACAAAATGTCATAAGGGACATGTCACAGACACTAACATAAATGTGTATATTGCAAGTAATCTTCCTTTTGCCCATATATCACTTCAATATGAATCAATCGCTTTCCTAGCATAATACCTTGGACCGCACCTATCATGATCGTAGGACACATGCTAAAGTAGCTGTCACTGAAACATACCTCTGTGATATTGTCAAAGTCAAAGGACACCATTGGAAGAATTACTCCTTCCTGGGACTCACACAACAATGAAACAGGGATCTTTCACTTGCTTCCCATTTGCGGTTCTTCCAACTCATGTGGTATGAATCACATGCTACGGTGTTACACTTACACTATAAGAGCGTACATCATTTTATAATTAACATCGTACAGACTTAAGTCTAGATACAATCAGTATCTAAACCCAAATTCTTCAACTTCATCTCTATGACGTCGGCGTTGGAGAATTTGTTATCTGGCTACAAGTATAATGGAAGTGGGCTTCCATGGTTCAATCCAATAATACCTCTATGGATCTCATCTTGACTCGCTACACTTTAGTCAAGGCGACATATAGTTTGTGTTTCTTTCCTACCATATCAGCATTCTTTGCTGCTTTACTGGTGAACACAAATGTCTCATCTTTGTTCACTCCACCTGAGTGTCAAAGGCGGTTGCCTGTGTGAGAGAGCCAACCTTTTAACCTGTACGATATACTAGACATTGTATACTTTCGGACATACACATAAAGTGATAAAGAAAAAAATATAATTTTATTAATGAGGTATACAAATTACACTTTACGTATGCTAAGGGCTTGCACATGTTGTTTAAAAACTTTTTAGCCTATTGGCTTTGTCAGAGGATCTGCTACCATACATTTGGTTGAAATGTACTGTACAGTAACAACCTTTTGTGCTATATAATCTCTAACAAAATTATACTTGATGTCAATGTGCTTGGTTTTGCTGTGATACTTAGGATCTTTAGTATAGGCTATGGCTGCAGTATTGTCACAGTATACCATCATCGGATTGGTACTCCTGTTTCCAAATCCAAGGTGTTCAATAAATCTCTTCAGCCATAAAGCCTCTTGCACTGCTGCGGTGCATGCCACAAACTCAGCTTTCATTGAATGTAAGGCAATGCACGTTTGCTTCTTGCTACTCCAACATATGGCGCCATTGTTGAGCAAGAAGGTATAACCTGAAGTTGACCTTTGTTCTTCTTCATCTCCACCTACATCAGCATCGGAGTACCCAACAAGGCACAGGTCGCTTCCTTCGTAGCACAGTGCATAATTAGAAGTGCCCTTTAAGTATCTCAAGATCCTCTTCATTGCTTTCCAATGCTTTTCTCCAGGGTTAGACTGGAATCTGCTTACCAGTCTCACTGCATAACAGATGTCTGGTCTCGTACACATCATTGCGTACATCATACTACCAACAGCATTGGCATATGGAACTCTTTCCATCTTCTTTTTGTCAGACTCAGTTTTGGGACACATGTCAGAACTCAAAGCCACTGCAGTAGTAACAGGGGTACTCATGGGATTGCAGTCTTTCATGTTAAATCGCTCAAGAATCTTGTTGATGTAATTCTCTTGTGAAAGAGAGAGGATTCATTTTGAGCGATTTCTTTGGATCTTAACTCCAAGTATATACTCTGCTTTACCCATATCTTTCATTTCAAAATTCGACGAAAGCCATTCTTTAATAGCCACCACCGAATTTAGACTATTTCAACTAATAGAATATCATCTACATATAAGGATAATATGACAAAATTACCCTCAAACCGCTTAATGTAGACACAATGGTCTTCCTCTATCATTTGGAAGTCATACGAGGTTATTGCTTTGTGAAACCTCAAATACCACTGTCTGGATGATTGTTTCAATCCATAATTGGACCTTTTGAGTTTACAAACTTTGTTCTCCTTTCCTTTTTCAATGAAACCTAATGGCTGTTCCATATAGATTTCTTCATCCAGATCACCATTTAGGAATGCAGTTTTTACATCCATCTGATGTAATTCTAGGTCTAAACTGTTTACTATTGCCAGAATAAGTCTAATAGAATTAAATGCACAACAGGTGAGAACGTATCTTCATAATCTATTCCTTCTTGTTGTGTGTACCCCTTTGCCATTAATCGAGCCTTGTATTTGTCAATTGATCCATCCACTTTTCTTTTAATCTTGAGAATCCACTTGTTCCCAATGGCTTTTCGCCCTTTTGGAAGATCAACTAACACCCAAACTTAGTTCTTTTTCATTGAGTCCATTTCTTCTTCCATAGCTTTCATCCATTTATCTTTTGCAGGACCTGACAAGGCTTCTCGTACAGAATGGGGCTCATCATCCCCTTCTGGAGTAACTAAGAGAGATTCCCCTTCTAGTTGAAAGCGTCTTTTGGGAACACTTTCCCTGTTACTCCTTTTGACGGGAGCTATTTGCTTATCTTTCTTTCTTTGTTCAGATCTTGGTGTTGACCTTTCTTGGCTCCCACTTAGATTGACACACCTAGACGATTTTGGTTTGTCAATTTGTTCTGCACTATCTTGTTCCTGTGTCTCATAAAGAGAAGCAGTGCGGTCAACATCTCCTCTATTAGGAAATTCAGTCTCAATGAATGTTACATCCCTTGATTCTATTTCAGTCATCGTTCCATCTTCGTTTTCACCTATGAAAACATATCCCTTTGATTGTTCAGAGTACCTTATGAAGATACATTTCTTTCCTCTAGGACCCAACTTCCCATGCTTATGAGAAGCATTATGGATATACGCTGCTGACCCCCAGGGTCTCAAGATGCTTAGATCTGGTTTGCGTTTTGTCCATAACTTGTAGGGTGTGGAACCAACTGATTTTGAGGGTACACAGTTAAGTATGAAGGTCGCCATTAACAAAGCATCACCCCAATACGAAATGGGCAGGTTTGCTTGAGCCATCATAGACCTAACCATGTCTAGAAGAGTTTTGTTTCTTCTTTCAGCAACTCCATTTTGTTGTGGAATGCTAGGGATAGTCAGTTGTCTAATTATCCCTTTTTCTTCACAGAGCTGTTTGAATTGATTAGATAAATATTCACGACCTTGATCAGTGTGTAATGCTTTAATTTTACTGTCCATTTAATTCTCTACCTCATTTATGTATCGTTTAAAACACTCAAGAGCTTCAGACTTATGCGAGATCAAATAGACATGACCATATCGTGAAAAATCGTCAATAAAGGTAATAAAATACCAAGCTCCATGTCTCGCCCTCAGACT